TTCTGCATTTTCTCAGAGAGAGAATTAGAAAGCATTGATGATTGCTTGAATAAATTCACCTCTTTGATTGGATAGCTGTGTTTCAACTACAAGCATGCCATATCGAAAGTTGTGTAATTTTTAATTATTGATTACGTCTAAATTATTCTATCAACAAACTTGCATTATATATTTTGAGGGAAAAATAGGAGTACAGAGTTGTTCATCTTACACGCTACATGGATGTCAGCATGCTATTTTTTGGCAAAATTGCAGACTTTTCTACTAGCTCTATTGGAACAACACTGTCATTATGCATGTAAAATACTCTCTAAACCTGCCAATGCAGATTTGTATTCTATTCATTTTACAATTCCTATCACGTTAGTTTTTACTGTATTTGTTTTTGCAGCACTAAAAGATCAACCTTCAAACATTTTGAAGTATCAATTTCTTTACTTGAAAATTCAAAAGACGCCAGTAAATTGATCTGTGCATTTCAGTATTTTTAAATGTTAATTTCTCTTATTAGCATTGTTGTGACAATTGCATATTCAGTAAACCACACAATTCTTATGAAAATAAATTTCATTGCTTTTTCACTACTTTCATTTTCAAACTAAGGGAATAAAGTTAACTCGTGGTCATTCATGGCAAACAAAATGAATAAATCAGTGTAATTGCATGACTTTATCAAAGGCTATTTCCAATGCAAAGATTTGAACTGTTGGAAAGAATTGTCTGTATTCTGACAAACCATGGTATTTTTATACCCAGGAAAAACTATACAGCTGATGAGTTTAACCATCAGGCCTTGTCACAACCAGCCAAGATTTGTAGGGATTGTAAGAGATTTATTCAGTTGTAACCTCTACCATAAAAGGTCATTTTCTACTACCCCCAGACATCTAGAAGTAACTTTAATCTTCCTATCCTCCAGTAATATGTTGACATAATCATAGCCACAATCCATTCTTTTGACATTCAAAACACCAAAACCTTTCTTGTCTTTCTTGGTAACATACCACAATCCCTCACAGTAATTAAACATTCAGGGCATATTAATAGATAAGAACACTGTTAAGGCCCAAAGGTTCCTGTCAAAACAGGAATGTTTCTCAAACTGCCTAATTTTATTCTTCCTAAACTCTTCCAGGGGAAAATGTTCCAAAAAAAAAAAGGCTGGTTTGTACTTACCCATTGAAATCTGATGACAGACATTCTGGCCTTACTTTAGCAGCAGCAGAATTAGAAAGATCACATAAAGTGTCCTGCAAGACAACACAAGATGATTATGCACAAGTATGAACCCTACAATGGAATCTGACCCAGGCAACCTCCAATCATACTATATACAATCGTACTATATTTTTACAGTGCATTTGAAATTCAAAAAAAAAGATTTTTTTTTTTACATTTTTCTTTGATTGTTTGGCATTGATGCACAAATACTCTAGTTATATGCATTATATTTTGTTTTTAATTTCACTATTTTCGTTGATAAGTAAAATTTGCTAAATTAAAACCAGATGAACATGTAGAATAGATCTCGCTGTTTTCCCATGAAATTTGTGTAATTAATATGCAGTGAAATTGTTCAAATTATCAAAATAGTGAAATTAAATGTATGTAAAAAAAGATGTTAAACAGAAGCTGCCAATATTAAAAGTTGCTTTGTGAAGAACTCTGAACAACAGTTTACAGTACAAATGATGCTAAGATGAAGAGTTGTAAGAACTATTTGAAATGTTTCTTACCCTAGAATATTGATATTTAGTCGAGTCAGGCTTCTCCATACACACAGTTTTTGTATTGTTTGGCGGTTCATCACACTTTTCAATATCTTCCATTTCTATAAAGCAATTATAAACAACACAAATTAATATATCAACAGGTATTGGATAATTGGAATAATTTGTAAATACAATGGAGTTACATGTAGCTTCATGTTGTTTGTACAGGTGTCCATTTTTTATACAAAGGTAGAACCCCAAACCAAAACTAGTCATGTCATGTTTGGTCCAAGCGTAACTTTTAAAGTTAATAACAGATTTTCTTTTCCATGAAAATTTGTTGAAGTCAGCATCATTGTTATCAATTATTTTAACTTATTTTTTTGTAATACATTTATTACCCATTTTACTAATACCACAAAACACAATTAGGCAGTTTACAATGTACAATTTAGTCATGAGTGGTAGTTTTGAAAGCAAGCTAATGTTTTTCCTCATTCTCGTATATTTTTTGGGGCCTCATTTCATTCACAAGTATTGTATTTAGCAGGATAGTTTCTTCAAAAAAAAAATGTCTTGGTCTCTTAAATCGAGAATGATATGATGAATCAGAATGGAAACCCAGCTTTGTTTTGATTTAACAAATACCTAAAAATCATCACAATATGATGTAAACATTCAACGATTTGCAACCGAATGATTAATTTAAATCAAAATTCTTTCTGTTAGTAAATTAATGTTGGACGATAATGTTACAGGGACGTCACATCTGATGCTCAAAATGCCAGGAGTCGGAATCTGTTTATGCTGCTGCTGAATCAGAGTCACAGAGTGTCGATCAGAGTGAGAGAACATTTAAACTGCAATGGTCAAAGACATTTTTGTAGGTAAAATACAACACTGAAGAAAATTGTATGTTTTGCATATACTGCAGAACACATCCTAACCAAGATAGAGTGCTTAATTGAATTGGCATGATGTCACATGATTACTGTTTGTACACCAGTTATATTGGCAAAGTTAATTGTTAACTGGTTTTAAATCAGGGGGGAAGCTTGAGGGTGACTCCTCAACCCAAAGGTCTCATTTGCATATTTATATTTACCTGTTTCTTACTTAGGTCTCATTTGCCTTTGTTTTTATAAACTACCATGTATAGGGCTAGTTAACTTAAAGGTCACTTTTGCATATTTGAGGGGGTGACCAATCATTCGGCGACTGCCTATGGATTAACAGAGGTGGCGCTTTGCGCCGTTATTTAAGCATGGTTTTAACACTCTTAATTCAGTGTTCCTGCATTGCCTGCCTTTGCTGCCAATTTACCTCACCTGCTGCTGCTGCCGGTTTATGTAAACTGGAGGAACAGTTAGACCTTGAGACAGCGTTCTATAGGGGTCATACCTTCGCGTCAACCACTAAAAGCACTTATGCCGTCCATCGTAAGGCCTTTCTGGAATTCTGTTTGAAATTCAACTACAACCCAGTACCAGTTGATCCTGTGGTGCTTTGTCGGTATGTTTCCCATTTGGCGCGCCGTCTCAAGGTGAATTCTATTCGCCAATATTTGAACATCATTCGCATCCTGCACTCTGAGTGCGGATTTCCTAACCCACTTT